ATTGTTAATATAAGGTGACATTAGATTAACACAATGAGTCACTATCTGATATATTGTTAATATAAGGTGACATTAAATTAACACTGAGTCACTATCTGATATATTGTTAATATAAAGTAACATTAAATTAACGCAGTGAGTCACTATCTGATATATTGTTAATATAAAGTAACATTAAATTAACGCAGTGAGTCACTATCTGATATATTGTTAATATAAAGTAACATTAAATTAACACAGTGAGTCACTATCTGATATATTGTTAATATAAAGTAACATTAAATTAACACAGTGAGTCACTATGTGATATATTGTTAAAATATAAGATTATTATTTTGGTTCTTGTGTGCTGAAGTTTCCTGTCAGAGAATTAGTTGGTGTTGTTACTAATAAAACCCCTCAACATTGTATTTAGTTGTATTGTTATATTTAAAGGAATGATTTAAATATAATAAAATAAATTGATATACTGTAGTTGTCTGATAAACCTGCTTGAATTTAACATTTTTAGGTCATCCTAAAAAGTTAGCATATTTTTTAGATATTTTCTGTCTATATTTTCATTTGACAAATATGTCTCTATAGTGAACGTGTAAATCACAGTAGTTCCACAGAAACATTTCGAACAATTTGTATTACCTTAGTACACAAATGTCTCCACAGTAGTTCCACAGAAACATTTCGAACAATTTGTATTACCTTAGTACACAAATGTCTCCACAGTAGTTCCACAGAAACATTTCGAACAATTTGTATTACCTTAGTACACAAATGTCTCCACAGTAGTTCCACAGAAACATTTCGAACAATTTGTATTACCTTAGTACACAAATGTCTCCACAGTAGTTCCACAGAAACATTTCGAACAATTTGTATTACCTTAGTACACAAATGTCTCCACAGTAGTTCCACAGAAACATTTCGAACAATTTGTATTACCTTAGTACACAAATGTCTCTAGGGACAAAGTTAGGTAAACGTTTACTCTAGTGATAAGATACATTGTGAACATCTGATGATATTTTAACAGAGCCACGGGTATGTGGACAACCTGAGAGACCACCCAACTCCACACTGAATGTGTCAAGTTTTACAGTAGGAAGTGTGGTGGAGTATGCATGTGACCCAGGCCACCTGTTGATGGGGCCCAGTACTAGAACTTGTCTTGCCAGCAGTTTTTTCAGTCAGTTTCCACCAAGTTGTCGATGTAAGTGTTTATAAGAACTGAACTTATTACATAGTTTTTCACGAGTATGAGCTAGTGAATCAGCTAATGACTAAAATTTTTAAAGTATGTGGTAACACATACAGTTGTTATGTGGCTTATCTGTAACATATCAGTTATATAACACTAACTCTCTTGGTGTGTCTAGACTTGGAGTGTGGTCCACCGGCAAGTATTCCCAACGGAGGTTATGAACTATACAATGGGACACGTTATTATCTGAGTTCAGTCCAGTACTTCTGCAACAAAGGATTCAAACTTACAGGAAGGAGTTTATTAACTTGTGATGTAGATGAGAAGTGGAATGGACCTCCTCCCACATGCACAAGTAAGTTGTGATGAAAACTATTGTAGATTTAATGTTTAAAGATTTTTAGAGGAAACTCACCAAGGCGATTTTTCACGTTTTTCATAATAAATTGGTTAAAACTGTTTTTAAAAGTTTTTCACATTTTTACGATGTAAATGAAGGTTATAAGCTCAACCATGTACATACAAGTTTTCTAGCACCATAGTGTCTTTATTTTTCAAAGATCCAATGCCTTCTACCTCCAACAATCTTAGTTTTTCTAATACTGTTACTATTTTTATTGTTCAGAGATTCAATGCCCTTTACCTTCAACAATCTTAGTTTCTAATATTTTTATTGTTCAGAGATTCAATGCCCTCTACCTCCAACAATCCTAGTTTCTAATATTTTTATTGTTCAGAGATTCAATGCCCTCTACCTCCAACAATCCTAGTTTCTAATATTTTTATTGTTCAAAGATCCAATGCCCTCTACCTCCAACAGTCTTATTTTTCTAATATTTTTATTTTTCAGAGATTCGATGCCCTCTACCTCCAACAATCCTCAATGGACAGTTTACATTACCAAGAAACTACACTATTGCCCACACTGTGGTCCAGTATTCCTGTATTTTTGGATATAGCCTCAATGGAAGTGGCAGTCTTGTGTGTAGTGAAGAGGGAGTATGGGAAGGAGATGTTCCAACATGTGTTGGTAAGTTTCTAAATATCATCACGAATTATCAGATCAACATTTGCTTGTGTGTAACATTTCTCCTTAGAAGCTTTTGTTAGGAAATTACAATATTTCTTGTTTTTATTGTCATTCCTATTAGCTGATACAACAACTACAGAAGAAACAAGTATACGGATTTCTACACTAGAGTACAACACCTTACTCCCCACTACCCAAGTATTAACTGATACAGTAACACTGAATACTGATAATGTGGTCCCTCTTCTGGAACCAAGTACCACTAATACCAATGTAGTGACTACTATCAAGGAATTTAGTACAAATGTAGTGACCACTACCGAGGAATTTACAAATGTAGTGATCACTACCGAGGAATTTAGTACAAATGTAGTGACCACTACCGAGGAATTTAGTACAAATGTAATGACCACTACCGAGGATTCTAGTACAAATGGAATGACCACTACCGAGGAATCTAGTACAGATGGAATGACCACTACACTGGAATCCAGCACCTATAGACCAACATCTACAGATATTTTGTCCACAACAGAATTTTCCACTTCTCCACAAACCAAGATGTCTCATCATCATCTCATTCCATCTACAGTACATCCAACTTTTCCTCAGAGCACTAAGATGCCAACTTTCACTTTGGATTCTCGGGCAAATGAAATCACCGAATCGGATGACGTTAGAGAAACTTCCTCCAATGTGTTGGGAAAAATAGATCAACATGTGGAACCTGCAAAAGCAACATTAAATACAGGTTTGTTTGAGAAATGTGAATTAATGTATTACTTGATAAAACTAAGTTTTTTAAAGCAATATATTGTATTTTTTGGATCTCCAATCTAATTTTTTACGTTTCTGCAAAGACATTATACTTGTGAAGATAATAAGCTGTACTTAAGCTAAGAATCACTTGGTGAAACATGTTTATTTTATGTTTTCAGGAGGCTACATTGCTCTTGGGGTTTTTGGTGGATTTATTTTGCTAATTGCATTGACCACCATCCTTATAATTGCTGTCAGAAGGTAAGTTAACAGAGTTAGATTGTTTTTTAATCTTTTGTCCTTTTTATTTTATTCCCAGGCAGCCCATTGCGTGGCTTTGTGCTTAGTAACAAATAAACAATAACCTTTCATTTTAACTAAACGTGTTTTTTTTTACTTTTAGTTACTGACCTGTGTTGTATTTTGTTTGTTTTGTGTATCAGGTTACGAGACAAACCATCAACTTCTCGTTCAATGGATAGTCTTGCAAGCTCTACCTTCAGCAATAGTAATGGTGACCATGGCCTAAATAGGTATTACCAGCATGCTTGGGACAACCTTAGATATGGTATGAAGACCTCAACATCACCTTCAACAAAGTCCTCTCCACAGCAACCCAGTCATCACCATCAGATTTTGTCTCGTCAAGAAACTCTGGACAATCCAAACGTCCCAGGTAGAGGTAGAGGAGGTTTGGAGGAGTAGAATATGACCGTGTTACCATTAGGATGCAGACAAACAGTATCAGATGCTTGGATCCTCATCTTCATAAACAGAGAAATATTGGTACATCCTCTTTTAGTCATTATATATTTACACAACGACTTTTTATTATACTACCTCAGTCAGAATTTACCATCTTTTTGTGTGTATATTAAAATATATATATATTCATTTATTTATAAATAATAAATACAAATACATTAAATTTGCCTTTTTTTCCGTTTACAGTCATTGATTTTTTCTGGATGCAGAACCGTAAATTCTAAGATTACTCTTTAAGTTTGACACAACATATTTAATTGTTGGTGGCAGTTCTTTCTTCAAGACTAATTATTGGATACTGAGTTTGTCGAAACTGACTGAAAGATCGTATTTATTGTGAAAGATATGCCAAAGTTTCAGGTTTTTTTGTTGTATATAAAAGTGTATGTTTTCGATCTATAGACGTGTCCAGTATATTTCTTAGAATGATAGTCATTTTGTGATCAAACAATATACATTGTTACTTGAACAAGGTGGAATGTTCACAGTTTGTATTTAACGTTTTTACCTCACGATTTAGGACAAAAAAAGAGTTAGGAGTTTGAATGGTTTAATTGTAAACAGTATTTTATGTTGGAAAAGTGAAATGCGTGATTTTGTCCAACATTGTTGTGTATAAAACATTACGTTTGTTCTACTGGATTTAATTTTGTATATATTTCTACTTATAATAAAGGTTCTCTGTATACTAAAACTGTGTTCTCTGAAACACAAACATGTCTCTACTTCTAGTTTAACATGAACAGCTGTTTTATTAATTCCTGTCAAATAAACATCACGTCAGAAGAATTTTCTCCGTGTTCAGTTTATCAACTTGTATTACACCGGTGAATTACGTGAACAACAGGTAACCAATGGGTTTAGTTTCTTAAACCTTTACCACATCTGTTTAATGATAAATATAATCAGTAGTTTTATAGATTGAAGTTTATAACAGTAAAAATCGGGGTTCGAAACACGCAGTTGTACAGCAAACAAATTATATATCCTTGCCCGTAACACTAATTAACTCACACATAATAACGTTTCCTGTTGTCGAAGTAATAATAAACTAACGTGAACATGACTTTTATACACTTCCACTAGACGTGTCGAAGTAATAATAAACTAACGTGAACATGACTTTTCACACTTCCACTAGACGTGTCGAAGTAATAATAAACTAACGTGAACATGACTTTTCACACTTCCACTA